TAAAGTGCGACTAGGGATATTCTAGACATAGCCTTCGTCAAGAAGTAACAGTCTCATAATCAGAACATCGTAATCCTCATCTATGTTACTGAAGCGCTATCGTCTATGGACTGAAGCTATGTTATGTTACACGAGATATAAAACATACTTCAAAGCCTTTCATTCATGATAAAGTGTACAGTTACATAGGTATTTGATTGCCGCTAGGGCACCTAAATACAACATTTTATGGTGAGTAGACTTTTGCCTTTACTGTTCTTTCCACTGTGAACTAGGATGTGATTAAAACTTGGTTGGGACATAAAATGATCTAGAGATGCACATTACTTTTCTTTTTTTTCTTTTTTTATTTTTGTTTAATCCGATATCTAGTGGTAGTTTTTGTTTTATTTTTTAAAAATAATAAACGGATCGAAACAAGAACCAAAATGGGAACCACCAGTGGAACCGGACCAAAATCATATCGGTCGGTCCCAAGAGGTTCTAGTTCTGTTTCCTCCATTTTAGGAATCGGAATCACGTCCACCCGACTAAGGGGGCGCAATGGTAGACCCAAATGCCGGCCTTTATGAAAAATGTGCAACGCCGATTTCCAAATCTGTCCATTTCGGCACCTATTATATATCAGCCTCAGTCCCAACACACCCATTTGCAACCCCATTCCCCCCTGTTTTGAGGTACGACGACATTATAAGCTTTAAAAATATTGCTAGTTTTCTCTTCTCACCTGATGCAACCATTATTACAGCAACTCTTCACGTGATTGTAACGTTCTGGCAGTTTGACCTCACATTTTGAAAAATGGGAATAAACAGAAGCGTAAGAAATGATATTTGTGGTACCAACCTTTCCTGCTTTTCAGGAGTAGCAAGTGCAGATTCAATATAGCTGGCGTCTGCAACTTGTTAAGACTGTGCAACCCAATCTTATTTAACAAGTCAAATTCATCCCACCTTATTTTATCAAAAGAAGGAAAACCAATTCTCTGAACAACATTATGATTCACAATATCAGCAATGTTTTTCCAAAAATGTTTATCAGACAGTGAGGCTTCAACAACTTCAATCTCTGAAGATTTATGTTCATCAAGGTTTGAGAAATTTGGGGAGCACTCTGGATCTGGATGGCTGTCTGACTGGTTTGAATAGTTTACAGATCTATCTAATGCTGAAGGACCAGCGAAATCTCCTAAATGATCATTATGTTTTCCTATTACTTCAGTTTCATTTGAAGCCTGATCCTTCCAAATTCCAGTGTCATTGCTTTGATCAGTCCACTTAAGCCGTGGAAAAGCAAAATGTACAAACTGACGTGCTTGCACCATCTCTGTGCCAAGAACTGTCTTCAGTGCAGATTCAAGACCATTCTTCTCAAGAAGTTCTGTAATTATTGGAATGTGCCACCACTTTCTCTCTTCAACTTTATCAAAACTCTTGTACTTAATCTGAAATGTTTCATATGCTAAGTGAGAGTACACACGCAAAAAAGACCCATAAAATAACTAGATATAATAACAAGTCAAGTGGTATCACTTGTATGGTAGTAGGATTTGCAACCAAATATCAGAACAGAAATTTAAAAATATATAGACTCTGTGGCTGTTACATCAAGAAGGTTTTACCACGGAGATAGCTTGCAAAGCCAAAGGCTAAAGAGAAAGATATTGTTGTTTGGTGCATCATT